ATTGTGCGTCCGATACATGCAAATACTGCAGCTGCATTCCTGTGTTGTGTAGAATGCATTGCATTGTGAGTGCCGATTTAGCCACCACTAGATTTTATGTCGTAAAACCACATGTGTAAAGTCACAACATTAACACTTGTTATAGCTCACAGCAAACTACAAAACTGGCATAAGAGTTCTTCGTGCGTAAGATTTCCGGTGACAAATCGATCAGCTAATAAGCGGTCTGTACCCAGACCCACCCACTACCATTCCTTGTCAATAATATCCACCTGCTGTCCATCCGTTTTCGTTTCACACAACTCTTTTTTGCATAGTATGGATAGGTGTACTGAACATTTGCACCAAAATTTTTAGTTTTGAATTGTAATTGCGAAAGCAGTGAATGGAGCTAACTGCGATTCTGAAAGGTACGAGCTATAATGTTGTGTAGTCATTTGTAAAGCGTCTACCCATCTATCATAAACGTATTTCCCACATAATAACACATACTAGCAGTTTTCCTAAGCCCTCCATCCAACCAAACCCATTGCCCATTCAATGCTGGTACCCTTTGGCTCAACAAACCGCGGAGCCCTCCATTTGCGCATCAGATAATACATGATAATCCAACAACAGGCGACATCGCTAGACCACATTGCAGGACTTTAATGGATTGTTTTTCTTTTACGAATTTACGCATTCTGCTGTACGCTTGCTATCTTGTAATCGCCCAACTCTGGGCTCTTCATTTCAAGCTAAGAGGCATCATTAAAATGATATAAACGTCATCTATTTGCACTATTTTGCTGTTACCACCGTTCAAGGTCATTTCACTGGCTGATACGTGATCCACGTGTACCCCACATACTTCAAGGTATCACCAACATATTGATAAGGCGACGCACTTTGAGATTTTATGGTTGTGGGCCATGCTGTACGCCACACACACCAACCGTATTCAAGGGTCTCGACATAACCCGACCTTTTAACTCCGTGGCGCATTGCACGATCGGAGTTACAAATAAAGCTGTCTGCTGTCACTCACACCATATGCTACACCGTTCCGTGAAAATGCAAAGTTTCGAAACATTTTATTTTGAAAAGATGATGGATGTAACGTGGCCTTTGACCTCGCCACAAGGTCACAAGCTCAAAGAAGGATCGGAAATCGTCACCGCTATTTCTTCAGAGTTGGTACAGATAATTTCCTTTCCAAGGTGCCATCACCTCTAAGTGGTCAATGCAAAAATCCAAATTATTCTCTGGTCCAGCTTTCCAGATGGCCCCTGACGCTTGGGAACCTGTATCTTGTGACCCCTGTGATCAAGAAAACTACAATCATATAGAATGTAGGATCTAGACAAACTTATGCGCCAAGTTTGGTTGAAATCGGAGAGGTCGTGGTGAACATGACTTGATGATCTCTCGCGAAATTGTCCAAATGCCGGGGGCATTCCTGACTGTATGCTGGTTCTGCCAAGCAGGGGACACTCCAGAAATGTCATGTAGGATCAATTTTCTTATGGTCTGGGTGAAGATGGGTGCTCTTTTGTCGGAAGCAAGACTTTCCTTCCTAAGCTACGGCTCCATTCCCGCAACGCATTTTTGATGCAGTATGGGTACTCACCAAGACGTTACAACCTTCGCAGTGCTTCTCCGCCTCCGAACGGAATGGGTGTTGTGTCTTCGTCCAGTGGCAAAGTTCTTAAACTACACGCAGTTGTGCGCGAGGCGAATGACCGAGAAAAGGAGAGCCGCGAGAAGAGTGGAGATGGGAAGCGATTTTGTCCCAACGTCGCCCCAACCGGCATCACGTCGTTTTGAACGATCCCTCCATCCCGTGCGGAACGAGGTTGTTTGTGCCAGGCCAGAGCCGAGAGAGCCTGCTCGGATCGCCTCGCGCCTGTCCTGCCTGGCTGGCTGGGGCTCCTGCGCCGCACGCCGCGTCCCGGCTCGCTCGCCGCCCCGCCGCCAGGCCGTGCAGCCCGCGGCGCCGCGGCCCGAACCCGGCGGCGGCGCGCCGCTCCTACAGCGCCACGCCCCGGGGCATTAGCTGAGTGGCCGGCGGGCACAGCTGGCCAGGCGGCCAAGGTCAGACGCCCGGGGTGCCGCCGGCGGCGACGGCGCTCACAGCGGCCGAATCAGAGGCGCCGTGTTCGCTCCGACCTGGCGACTGGCGCTGCAGCTGCACAGCCGGCTCGCGGTGCTAGGCTCACGCTAATGGGCTTTCCGCTTGTGAGACCCACACTCACAATGCCTTTGCCTTTTACGTCGAGTTCCTTGAGTCGGACGCATGCATGGCAGCTAAAACCGAGCATATTAACTCAGCTAAAACTGAGTACGTTAGCTCAGCTAGACCTGAGCACGTCAGCTCAGGTGGAACTGAGCACGTCAGCTCAGCTAGAACGGAGCACGTCAGCTCAGCTAGAACTGAGCACGTTATCTCAGCTAGAACTGAGCACGTTAGCTCAGCTGGAACTGTGCACTTTAGCTCAACTGGAACTGAGCACGTTAGCCCAGCTGGAACTGAGCACGTCAGCTCAGCTGGAACGGTGCACGTCAGATCAGCTAGAACTGTGCAGGTTAGCTCAGCTAGAACTGTGCACGTTAGCTCAGCTAGAACTGTGCACGTTTGCCCAGCTAGAACTGAGAACGTCAGCTCAGCTGGAACTGAGCTTGTTTGCCCAGCTAGAGCTGAGCACGCTAGCGTTGGGTCTTCTCCCACTGCGCAGGTTTTGCTGGTTTGCGTTCCGAGCTTGCTCTAAGTGAGAAAATGTAATTTTCATTGACCTCAATTTAGTAACTCAAAAAGAAGAGCAGGTGCGTGGACGAAGTTACCGACTACCTTGAGCTGAGAGCTCTGGTGGAAGTGCAATTTCCTCGTCTTTCTGAGCATTGACACCGAGCCCACGAGCAAATGTCGTGAACAGTTATATAAATCGTTTGATTTATGTAAGCAACGCAAGCTTTAAGTTAAACCAGTTTTGTTGTGTCCCATATGTATCTATAATATGTATTTCGTATCACTTGTGTCTATCACAGACGTAGAACCAATAAGAGACAGATAGGTGAGGCTCATTGCAGCGCATCGGGGTAGCCATACAGTGACCATACATCAGACCACTGATCTTCAGCCTTTCCCCAGCTTTGACCCGATTTCGTGCTCCGGACCATCCGCCAGCCCATGTTTCACTCCGTACCAGAGCCCGGAAGAGCTCATAACGATGGTAGGCGTTTTGAATTTGGCTTGACTCTACCTTGTTTACTTCTGGCGCCTTGTGCGATGGGGATGATTCGATGGATTGAAAGAGGTTGCACATGTTAGAGTCGACCTCGTATCTATTTCGATTATTGAAAGCAGTGAGACTAGGAATGATATATGTCTTCTACTGTGGAACAGATGGGGCGAATATGGGCAAATATGGAAAGCGATGTGTTTTGCATCTCTGATCTCTCGGTGCCACGGTGATAAAATGCAAGATTACATTTTTTCTAAAACATAATATGGTCACCGTTATCGTCAGTCCAGCGGTAATGGCCATGGAGCTGTTACTAGTAAAATGCTGTACAATCCTTAAGAATTAAAGCTACCACCAAACAAATCCTGCACGGTGCGTTGATAAGTTGCACTATCGGCGCGCGGAGCATTCTGTAAAATGTGCCGTGTTTGAATTGTTAATAAATCCATTGTATTTGCACATTCAGTGGACGCCTGGGATGCATGCATTCTTTGGTATGACAGGACAAGTGAAATGACGCCTGTGATGAACTCATGGCATTAGTTGCTCACATGCTTACTTCATGGGTCGAAGTGGTTGATGGTTCGGCATATTCCAAAACTGAAGGATGCACCTGCAGCACAGATAACCAACAATTTTGCACGGTTTCAGATTCCTTGTAACTTGTAACTAAGATCTCCGCCTTCCCCAGCCGTCTGTCCGCATACCCCCTCAGCGTCGGTTTCTCCAGCCGTCTGTCCGTATACCCCCTCAGTGCCGGCTTCCCCAGCCGTCTATCCGCACAGCTCCACAATGTTGCGGGTGATCCAGCGGTCCCTGATGCCCAGCGCCCGACTCCGCAACAGTTTATCATACGGCTGTTGTGTCGGCTGGCGCAGTGCGAACAACGTATTTCATTCAACCCATTGCATTTGCCATCATTTGGATGGTAATGTTGCAGCAGCGAAGGCAGAGCAAAAACACGCGCGGGATTCGGTGCGAGCAGGGAGAGCAGTCGCACTTCATTACTGTTTACGCTTTGCAGTAGCATCAAAGGCGCGGGATCTGTTGGGCAATGGAGGAGAGGCAGGGAGGTCTAGGGGGCTGGAAGCTCATCGTTGCGGAAAATCTAGCGCTTAACTTGGGGGGGGGGGGGGCGCACAAAATAATAATCAAAATAATTAGACCTCCCAGTCCTCTGCAAGCGTCTTCGCTCCTGGCCACCTAAGGTTGACCTTGCTTAAAGAGAATGTTCCACATTTAAAGCAAGCATCAGATATGATGAAATAAGCTCACTTTTAACTAATGGTATATTTGTGAACGGAAAAGGCTGTTCTAGATAACACAATTTCTCTGTTTAGTGGATATTTTTTGACGGCCGTTATGTCTCAGAATCGTGCTCATGAACGCCAGACATGAACGACTCGACAATTATGTTTTTCTTGGCCTTGATCGCCGCATGGTCACAGAATGCAGAATTTGAATGACGTTATGATGGCGTCATTGACACCTGGGTGAAACTAGAAGAGTCTAGGTCTCAAGAAGGGCGGGACTGTAAACTGCACTGAATGGCATTCAAGATGGCTGTTTCAGTTCAAATCCCTGTACGAATGTGGAGTATTCCCTTTAAGCCCGATGTCGAGTTAAGGTTCCTCCTCATGATTGGAAACGCGTCAAATGGCTGTAGGGAACGGTTCCAACCTGTGAGAGCGCCTCCAAGCGAATAAGCTATGCACTCGCCAGTGACAGCGTGTTTGTGTCCTGGCTTTTGCAGAGCTTTCTGAAGGGAGAGTTTGCAAATTGTGGCGGACGAGGCGTTCCAGAACGCCATCCACAGCTTCACAGAGGCGGTGCTGAGGTCGGAGAGGCTGGCCAGAATGGTGCAGTCCGGCGCCTGCTCGCAACATGATCTCAAGGAGATCTTTAAGAACATGATCGAAAAACGCGTCAGGTGAGTGAGCGTGCCTATTTGCAGTCAGTGCTTCAACTGCTTGGCTTTAAGAGATACACTTTTCTTAAAGATCTCCGCGCGTTCTTTTCGTAACGAAGTTGTTAGAAATGTTCATCAGTGAGTGTTTTCAGCTGAGATCAAATTTCAGCGCGATATGAGCTCGTGAATAAAAAAAATAACGCACAGGCTAGGGCCACGAAAATAATTTGGCTACAATTAATAAAATCCGACAACAATTTGTTTCCATTATCTTTCCCAGAACAAGCTTTAAAAGCATTCTTCAAATTGTCACAATCCTTTCGGCTCCATTGGGATGGTCTCCTCCATCAAAATTTGTAATGTTCTCACGGACCTCGGCGCACCCGGAAGCTGATATGAAACGCAGAACTCGTCGGCGATTGCCGGCCTAGCAAGCACTCCAGGCGCCAGTAATTCCTGGCATCTGTCCGTACATAGCGCTGACTGACCCCCCCCCCCCTCTGCGCAGGTGCCTCCCCGAGATAGATGGCCTGAGCAAGGAGACGGTGCTCACTTCCTGGATGGCCAAGTTCGACTGCATCCTGAAGGGTAAGCGCCTCTGCTCACGTGCCCGTGAGCCGTCCCTGCCCCACGGACACGTGAGCCGCTCTGTCCGTGTCGCTCCCGCTCCACGGACACGTGAGGAGCAGTTCTGCCCAGACATACCAACGTTTGCTGCGGGGATCGTTCAAAATGTCAACCAACACGACTGTATTACCTCCTCAAGCAAGAAGCCCCATATTCAGGATCTAATGCATAAATTCACGTCTTAATTTTTCAAGCCGCAGCTAGGAGGCCTCCATGACCTACCACTCTGATGACAGTTCTCAATCAATGACACCTTCACATTTTAAAGCATAACCTTCTCCAAAGCACCACCGATGCGCTGTCAGAACAGGGTGAAGCATGACCAAGCAGCACATGCTGGACATGGTGATATTTTTTTGTCAAACGCATTAGAAACATCAAATTAAAAAAATAATAATTTGGCCTGGCTGCTCCATACCTCTGAAAGGTCGCATACCAGCAAGCACCGACCGGAGACGGTGGCCGGGACTATGCGTGTGACCCTTGATGTCTTTCCTAGTCACGTGACACCCGTCATGCGAGAGCATCGGGATGTTCAATAACCCGCCGATAAACTGCACTCTAGCGCAGATGGTAGAATCTTACAGGGTTAAGTAAGGTTAAAGTTGTGGAATTGTCTTGTGGACATCGAATTGGCTATCTCAGTTCGACACTCCATACAAGGGTAAAATGCATTGTTTATAACCCCGGTATGAAATGTTCTACACGGCCCAAGACATTGCCCCTTGTTTACGACCCCGGTATGAAATGTTCCACACGGCCCAAGACATTGCCCCTTGTTTACGACCCCGGTATGAAATGAAATGCTGCACGCGGCCCAAGACGTTGCCCCTCGGCAGTACCGGGAGACGACGACCAGCGGAAACCGTCCCGACTTCAAAACAGCGGCAACTCAGAGCTCATCCTCAGCAAGGAGCAGCTGTACGACATCTTCCAGAACATTCTCGGTGTCAAAAAGTTTGAACACCAGCTGCTCTACAACGCGCTGCAGGTTAGCTGGTGACAGGCTGAGCAGTCCTGAGGAACTAACGCTCTCGAGCAGAAGGGTACGCAGTGCGTCCTCGCCTCCCCCACAACCACCACCCAGAACCGCCACATTTTTCGACATCATGCGATGTACATAGACGAATCACAAGTAACCAAATGTTCTTTGCAGTCAAATTTAGCCAACCGACTCGCACCTAAATGTCGACCCAGTTCAAAATCACTCCTCCTCCTCTCCCCCCCCCCCCCCCCCCTTAATGCAGCTTGGTGAACCGATCGCAGCCCGTACCAGCACCAGCCTTAACTGCTCACCGTCAGTACATCACAGGATATACATCCGTACATCACAGGAGCTGTGTGCAGGAAGTCAGACCAGATGTACCGGCTGCGATCGATGGGCCCACCGAATGCACCGCAGGATGTACTGCCGGATGTACCGCCGAATGTACCGCCGGATGTACCGCCGGACGTACCGCCGGATGTACCGCCGGATGTATCGTCGAGCCCAGCCGAGGCATGATGGAACGTGGACGACACACCTGGGCGGCCAAACGAAGTGGAAGGCTTGAGCTATGTGCGAATAGAATCTAACCGGCTATTTGATCTTCGTCCCATATTCGTTCAGTTTTGCTGTCATTTTAGTTCATTCCAGATGAAAGCTGGTGGCATGCCTGGATTGCGTGCTGACGGAGTGCGGATATGTGAGCGTCGCACGGGCCGGATCTGGTCTCATATTCTGGCTGCGTTCGGTTGAATCTAGCCAGAAATTTGAGCAGCACCCTGGCGAAAGCTGGTGAAATTCTGCAGCAGCATCTGGGCTGCATTTGGCTGGTCGCGAGTGCCGCACCCGACTGGGATCCGGTCGGTAATGAAGTGTGGCGGCCGCAGCGTCAACAAGCTGGCAGCGGCCGACAGAACGGCAGCCGGGCCCGGGAGTTGGGGTCAAGGTCATGCTGTTGAGTTAGCACGACGAACAACTTGGAACTGTTAGCTGCTGCATCAAAACACTTATGTGAATTTTCTACCCGCCATAGCTTCTTTGAGAGTCTGCCCTGCCGCTTGAAGCTGGCGGCCTCGATGCCCGCGGCCGTCATCAGTTTCCGTTTGGCCGTGTCAGCAGCCTCCCGGCTGGCGCCGCGCCGCGAGGGGCGGCCCAGCCTCTGAGCCGCCGGGCCCCGGTTAGCGGGCCACATACCGCGCTTCAGCGTTATCCCCTGACCAAGCGCGCCTCGCTGACCTCCTTGAGGCGATCCGCCGTGCTTTGTTGATGCGAGGCGCTTGGAAATTTTCACCGGAACGACTGGGATCTCCTGCGCGGCGAGGATCTTGGCTCATCTCTGCCTTAGTCTGTCACCGCGTTGGCACAGCCTCGCAGAGATAACCGCTGGAGCGATGTGCGGCGACTCGTAACCACCCCATTTGTGGAGAGCTTCTGCGATATTTGGCGTACATTCAATATGACGTTTAAGGTCCACTGTCTCTTTCTCTTTTTCTCCTCTTTCTATTCCTCCTTTCTCTCTTTCCCCTTTCCCTCTTCCTCGTTTCTCTTTTTCTCCTTTCTCTCTTCCTCCTTTCTCTCTTCCTCCTTTCTCTCTTCCTCCTTTTTCTTTGCCTCCTTTCTCTCTTTCTCCTTTCTCTTTTCCTCCCTTCTCTCCCACTCTCTATCTTTCACGCTTTTCTTTCTCTCCTTTTCTTTGCTCCCCTCTACTTCCTCTCCTCTCTTTGTCTTTCCTGTTGTTTTGCTCGTAATTATCTTCGGCCCGCATTGTTGTAAGCTTTTTGAGACGGGATCGAAATTTATTTAAACCTGGTGTCTGATTCTGAACGCGTAGAAGTCAGTCGCTTTCTTAGAACAGGAAATGTCCCATCTATATTTTCCGTGTCAGACTGCGCTCACAAAGCCAAACCCAGTTCAGGCCGGCGCGTGAACCATGTAAAGGCAGCACGCTACTACCGCACTATGTTCTAGGTTTGGCTAGACGCAAATGATGCAAGCCAGAGACATCTGCCAGGCGGTCGTCACTTTGAATGGAAAGCAGCCAGTCGAGGCAGGCTCGCCGTGTAATGAATCGCATTTTGTCGGTGGTCGGCTCCTCGGCGTCACGCGCTGTTCAGCTGGCATTGCGATTTTTCGTTGGGCGTGCCGTACGTTTTATGGAATTGGGACGTGTCACACGTGATATGTGACTAGGGCGAGCCATACACGGTATGTAACCGGGACGTGCCATACGCGGTATGTGACCGGGACGTGCCATACACGGTATGTAACCGGGACGTGCCATACACGGTATGTAACTGGGACGTGCCATACACGGTATGTGACCGGGACGTGCCATACACGATATGTGACCGGGACGTGCCATGCACGGTATGTAACCGGGACGTGGCGCTCTTTTCAGCTGGATTCAGCCGACGAACAAGCGGCCGCTATCCGCCGTGAGCTGGATGGTCGAATGCAGAAGGTCGCCGAGATGGAGCGGGTGCGTCCACGGACCGCCCCCCTTACTGGCCCGCACTGGTCCCGGTCACCCAGGGACCGCTCCCCTTACTGACCCGCACTGGTCCCGGTCACCCAGGGACCGCTCCCCTTACTGACCCGCACTGGTCCCGGTTACGCAGGGACCGCTCCCCTTACTGACTCGCACTGGTCCCGGTCACCCAGGGACCGCTCCCCTTACTGACCCGCACTGGTCCCGGTCACCCAGGGACCGCTTCCCTTACCGACCTGCACTGGTCCCGGTCACTGCCATGTTCGCAAAACTGACATGTTTTAAGATTTATTGCTGATTGGCCACTCATTTTCATCGGAGAAGGGCTCTGCTGTTCTTTGTCTGTTCCTGTGCTGTTTTTCATGAGGGGGCTTATAGTATAGCATCTGCGTGGTAGCAAAGCTATTGAATTCGTTTGCCAAGTGTTATTTGCCGACACCACAAGTCAACGGAGCCGACCGTAATGGAGGAAGCTTGCAGTCCATCATTGGCCTGACGATATCTGAACCAAAAAGCCATCAAGCATGCTCGAAGACCTTTTTAACCGCAGCATTCGCTGAATTTAATGAAATGTACTCGCCTTTCGTAGAATCGACGTCTGATGCCAAAGTTTGTGCTGAAAGAAATGGAATCATTGTACGTAGAAGAGCAGAAGTCGGAAATAAATAAGCTGATGGTCAACTTGGAGTCGTTGCCTGTCTCCAAGGGCTCGACGGACTCCAAATATGGTCTTCAGAAGTTGAAGAAGTACAATCACAGGTGAGACTAGTCCTTGTTTCTCCGGGCTGCTTTTCACTCGCTTCACTTGTTAAGCTGTCGCCACAGCCCATTTCACTTACTCTCAAGGGTTTTTTGTGCTTTTGTTTACTTGCTTTTTCAATGATGTTGCTATTAACTGGGTGGATATGGTGAACTGCGGCAGATAGCCTGGCTATACCTCTGGTTCGCGACCTTTTGCGATCGCAAACAAAGCTTGCCGGTTGTCCCTTCTAGCACCGCGTTCTAACGCTGCACCGAGAGCTCGTGTGGACATGACAATGGTCTTTTATGGCCGTAGGCAGACCGTCCGCCCTTTCTTGACCTCCAAGCATGAAACCCGCCCTTCTGTTCATGACCCCAAGCGCACCAATAAAGCCAGTTGAATACCTCCGCTTGAGACGCCTGACCTTCGAGAGCTGATCAGCGTCGGCTCGCAGACCTGGAACTGTCCAACCCCGTCGCAGGCCGCCTGCAGTGGCGCGCGGCCCCCGGCTGGCGGTCTGGCCCAGCCGGCCCCACCCGGCCCCGCAGCAGCCCCGCCAACCCTTCGGCGCGGTGTAACGGGCAGGCCGGCACGCTGTCAAACCGGCACGGGTGTTTTGTTGCAGCGCCAGCGCCAGGGCCGATTGGAACGGCCAGACCAGTTCATTAGCCGTGGAAAGCTTGTTAGATGATTCCAAAACTGTGAGCTGCTGGTTTAAGTAAGTCGTGTCGGTGCCTGATCTCTAGCTGGTAGGCAGCCTCGGCGCTGCCGCGTTCGCCTGCCGCCGTCTCGTCCGCCGTGTTTGTGGTGCCCCACTCTGTACCCCGTTAGTCAGAGCATGCCAGAGGCACGGTAGACGAGCAGCGGTGTGGAGTGCGCCTCCAGTGCCATTGGTAACCGGCCAGGCTTCGTCCAGTCGCCTCACACGCCCTAGACTAACTGTGCCATCTCCTTTGTAGCACTTCGTGCCCCTTTTAGTTGGCGTTAGGTTGACGTGCTTTTGTATATATATATATATATATATATATATATATATATATATATAGGGGTTTGCTTAAAGTTGTGCATGGTAAGCCAAACGTGTTACTTTATCGTGATAGGTGCTGGTTTTCAACAGTGGATTAGCTACCGAGCACTAAGAAAACAATAGATAATCCGATGCGATGCGAATGTAAATATGACCATTCATAAATGATATGTAACCACAGTTATTTCAACCTCGATGTTACCATAGCAGTGTTGCAGCCGAAAGATAAATGTTACGAACACAGTGCTGAACATTGTCTTACTTCGTCTGTACCTTAACGTCCTCTGCTTTTACCGCCGCGTTTGACCTAAATGGACTGATGTGCCATATATGAGTGTTTTTTGTAGCTTTATCGCTTTCACATGCAAGGAAATGTGAAATGGACACAAAGTTGTTAGGTCTGGGTCTTTCTTAGGACATAGACTGAGGACCTTCCCGAGGACCTTAGCTGCATGCGCATTATCCGCCCTGTTACTAAGCGACGTACATGCATTCACGAAGCTGTGGTTGGCATTAAAACTGCGATAAACTGCGTGTCTTGTCAGTTGAGATATCCAGGAAACAAAATCACAATTAGTTATAAATATTATACATATATATATATATATATATATATATATATATGCATTTGTTCACTTCCCGGATCACGATCTAAAAACATGAAATAATCTGGACCGTGGAAGAACACGTGCCGAGCCACGTGCGTGGGCAGCGGCGGCGAGAGGCCCGCTGTGTGGAGACGCGTGGTGCGTAGGCGTGCGGCGGACGGACTCACAAGTGAGGGACTGGAGCGCACCACCTCCGGCGCGCCGCTGATCGGCTAGGAGACGACGGCCAGCCCAGGCGAGCGTGTTTCAAGCCGGAGCCAAAGTCCGAGCCCTTTGCCAAGCCTGTGCCGAAGCCGAAGCCGGAGCCGGTCGCGAGACGCTCGACAGCTTATCGTCACGTCAGGTGACCAAGTTGTGTAACTGTTGCCAGGCCGGACAGCGAACGGCAGAAAATATCCGACCATGTGGCGAGCCGCAGTGCGGTCCTGACATCGAGTTTGATGGCCCTCTGTTCGCTGCTCGGGGCGCGTCAAGACCACCCGAAGCAAAACGGCTCTGGAGGACGTAGGAAAAGAGGGACCCTGCACGAAATTTGTGCAAGGGACTGTGTTGAACTTTGGATGAACCCGGACATGCCGGATGTGCGCTTTTGAGCAAAATTGAATATGCATCCATGTATTTTGCATTTTGCGTCGCGTGGCGCATCGTGCAGAAAAGGTGGCAATCCTCAGGTGGAAGAAGAAAATACCACAGAACACAATTTAGTACGAAGAAAGACCCACGTATGTTAGGATATGAACAAATTGAAAGCAAAAGGTTGCGCGGAATCAAGATAAGTAACATTTTAAAAGATCACAGGAAGCAACATTCACGTAAAATACCTGAGATAAAACACCGCTTGGGATCAAGCTTGCCAGGAGAAAGGCGGTCAGGCATAATCAGTTATGGCAAAGGGTAGTCATCTGCCAAAAACATAACTCAAGAATTGTGTAAGAGATTAAGACCGGAAATTATAAGTGTCTTAACGATGTGACAGAAATCGATATCGCAACATAGTCCAAGGTAAAGAGAAATGGAGATAGAAAGCATAACCGCACACACGAACCAAGAGAGATGCAAGTCTCTCAGAAAAGGAACGACAGCCCCCCCCCCCCCCCATTCAACTTTGCACCCAGTAGCCGAAATGTGAGGATGTCTTCTGCACTAATTTCAAACTGCGAAGGATATGCCGCAGATATTAAACTACGGGTCTTCAGTGGGTCATTACCCGAAAGACCCCATGTCCGGTCTTACGGTTATGTCCGTTTTGCAGCAACTGCCAAGTTTGTGGGAAGAAATTAGCATTAAAAGCCTACGCGCATTCCTAGAACATCTGGTAAAGTTCTGCCACTTGGCAAACATCTCGGGAGCGGAGTTGTTCCACAGCGAATGTTTGGATAAAGCTGCATTTCACACCAGCGTTCCGACCAGGCGCTCGTTTAACACGCGGTCGGATAAGCGGAGGTCGAGCTGACCTCCCCCGAATATTTTTCCGGAATTGTTTCTGAACGGCGCGGCGCAGCCGCGCCAAATTTTGCATAGCTGTAGACAATTGAATAGCTGATCGTTTGGTGAAAATAATTTAGATACAACTTGTAAGGTCACTGACCTATGGTACGTCAAAGTCACGCCATAGTTTCAGCGAAGCCAATTTCTAGGGAATCGTTCAATCTGATGCAACAACGGAGTGTTAGACAAAGCCATTATCTCTGAAATGATTTCTTAGACAACAAAACAACTGAATGAGTAAATTGCATTGACCTAAGGTCAGGAATGAAGGTCAGACCAAGGTCAAAACCAACCTGTTTTATTGCTCTAGGGCTTTCTGTATGAGATAGTTTCTGGTACTCATTTCGAATTTATTGCAAGCAGGAACCGCATTCTAGATCTTCCATGGACTTCTTGACGATCAGAATAGGTCATTGACCTTGAACGACCCGGGTCAACACTTGGTTTTTAGGAGCACACTGCCTAGCGTTGTCTTTGTCGCTTATTCAAATGCAAAACTCATAGCAGTCTTGTATTATTTTATCACCATGACCTTCAAAAGGTCAAACAAGGTCGCTTTTCTTGAATGAGCATGCGACCTTTTGCTTAGAAACCGGTATCTATGTTCTGGGGGCCTTTTGGAGACCAACCAGGAATTTGATCCTGTTTGACCTTATTTGAGCCGAAGGTCATGACCTAGGAATCTCAAACTTTGACCTAAGTGAGTTTACGTACAGGTCAACATACCCTGTGAATTTGGTGCCTCTAGTTTTCATAGTTCTTGAGATCTCAGGGGGGTCAAATTGACCCCCAGCCGAGCGAAGGGTATCCCAGCCGGCCACCCGGGAGCGTGTTAAGGCGTTCACCTCGCGGCGGAAGTGGAGGCGCCGCCATCCGTCGGTCCGGCGTCAGCTCCACGTTGTGGCCGCCAGCGGGGTCGTACCAAGCAGCGAAATGGACCATATGACCTTAACGTCATATGATTCGTACCCTGCATGACCGTTTGTCATGCGACCTTCATCCCTCACGGCCTTTTTATTGCTACCTTCATGCCGAACGATTTCGGGTCTGCACAATCTTTTAATGCACGCATGCGCGGAGCTTCACAACATAAGTTCGGGGTGAGGAGGGGGTATGGGGATACTGAGTGGTGAAAGGTCGCAAAACCAACCCCGCATAGCACCATCAAATGGGTTTTCTTCCAGGATAGTCTACTTTCTTCTCAAGTGTGGGCCGTAACCCCTAAAACCAAACAGAAAGCTGCGCACCTGGCTGTTGGCCTATTTATACAATATCTACTTTCCATAACTTTTGATGCCAGGAAATAGAGCTGTCCGTTACAGTAAAAACAATCACTACAGGGGTTTGGCTGGTATGTCTTTGAGTGTGACAGGGAAGTATCAGGAAGATGCAGTTCCATACAAGATACAACACCTGCACCAAGTACGTTGTACTTTATTTGGTTTGCCGACTGCAGGAAGGTTGTCCCCCTTCTGCGAGTCCATATGGGCAGGTGCACCTGAAGCGTGACTGAAGAGCAGAGAGGACCCCGCCCTTTCACGATGTCACGATGCCCCGTTTTCAGTCAGGACATTATGCATGGATTGCTTAAATATCGGATGCCCCATGTCATAAGCGTTATAACAGGGGTCAGGGGGTCGTGGCCCCGCGCTTTTTGAGGAGTCTTATCCTATGGCGATGCATGCAAAGAATCAACTTCAAAATTAGTATTGCTCCCCCTCTCCCCATCTCACATTCGGAGACGCTGATAGCTGAGGCCGCGCTTAAACTCCACAGATCTCTCAGGACGCTTATATGTGCCCGTAATGGAGACGCGCTCAGAAGCAAGCTCCTCTCCATGTTCAGCAGGTAGATGCGTATATATCACATTGGACATGAGTAGCCTTGACAGCTATGGGGAATCACCGCGAAGGCCAAGGGTGTCCATATGTGTGCTAGGGGATTGGGTGGTCCCCATTCGTCTCCGATTTCAACACTAGGCCCATGGTGTTATATGGAAGGGAACATGTCGAAAATTGCTGTTTGAGTCCTTCCAATCGTTTTTACAAAGGGTTTTCTACTGAAAGAAGTTAGAAAGCTGCTCACGCGTGGGATGATGAGATTTGAAAACACGCATTCAGCGTACTGTCACACGCGATTGCTGTTGTCATGCCTTTCATCTTGAGAATTCATCCGTAACATGATCATTTGCGCCGTACAGACACTGAACCTCGGCTCACGGTCGGAAGAACTGGTGACGCGATTCGCGGCCGCTCACGATGTTATAAGCACAGTTCGAAACGGCGAGTATCGGTATTATATCCAACGGTGTTTAACTGGTGCTTCCTGGTATTTTAACATGCGCTCGGGGGGGGGGGGGGCGTCAATTTCACCATCGCAAATATTTTTTCGGGAATGATTTCCGAACAGCGCGGCGTAGCCGCACTAAATTTTGCGTAGCTGTAGGCTATTAATTAGCAAAGCGTTTGGTGCAAATATCTCGATATACCTTCATAGGGAACAGACCTAGAACAGGTCAAAATCAGGCCATGGATTCAGCGAAGACAATGTCAAGGCAATCGCTCAATCTGATGCAACAACGGAGTATTGGACGAA